CCCCCCCCCTTTATTTTTGATGGACTGTGGGCATACCAGACTGTTTACTTTCCCATTGATTGCATGTTTGTTTCCTGGAGATTCATCAAAAAGCTGCAGTCTCACATTAAGTCAAAATGAAACTGAATGAGGAAAAAAAAGTTTGTTCTTAGAAAAGTCATTCAGTCCTCTTTTCTTTGGTTTTGTTGTCGGACCAGAAAACAGAATCATTTCAAGCAGTGCTCTCTCCTTTTGCAGAACATAACCACATGAGGCTGATTTTACTAACTGCCCCAGTCTGCAGTGGATTCATGGCATAATAACCTGTTGTGGTTAAACTGACTTTCCTTGGTTTATGTCCCTCTTCAGTCCCATGTGTTCAGCAAGGAGCGTTCACCTCTGTACCTCCGGACTCTTGTGGCATCTCAATGAAAACCACATCACGCTATCTCATCCCCTCACAGGTTCCTTTGGCTCCATAGCTCTAACCACCATTTAACCTCCCCACCCCACCTCATCAAGCTCTCAGCTGGGTCCACCTGCAGCTACCAGATAGGGACAGAGTACTAAAACAATGTATGATTTACTGGATGCAGCTGAACACGAGACAGTTCTTCTTTTTCACAGGCGATCAAGAAATGTGTTGCCTTTACTTGCACACTCTCAATCAAGTCTGCAGCTGTGAGCGGCGTTTGAGCTGCTCTAACTGATACGTCTCTGTCAAAGTTTTACTTATTGGGTTAATATCCTGATATGACACTAGAGGATCACAGAGGGCACCCGGGGATCTGCAGTGGTGCCAAATCCCAAGGACACAAAAGCCTCGGAAGCCTGCAAAAACAGTGAAAAGAAACTGCTCAGCAAATCCTCTGAGTTGTGCAGTAAACACCCCACAAATCACCTCCCTCATTCATCACTTTGGATTCAGCAGCTCCCCTTGTTTTAACTGTTTCTGGTTGTAAATTTCTCTCCCCCTCCACACACCTCACCCCAACCCCGAGATACCGAGAAACTCAGTGAGGACATTGGTGTCTGGACGTGAAGAAAGCTGCTGGGTGTTTCCTGGTCATTGTATCTGTTTGCATATCTGTGGAGGTGAGGCAACCATTCGAAAGGTCAGAGTTCAACAGGCACAGTTGAGTCTTAATGACCCTTCACTTCAGGTCACAGCTTCCAAACGGCAGGATTCAAACCAAAGAAGTAATTTTATACAGAATTTATACAGGAAGCTCATGTGTTTTAAGTCAAGGGTAAAGACTGCAAAAAGTGATGTTAGGAGGCGTTTTCTTTGCATGCTGCAAGTATTAAGTTGTTTGAACTTATGGTTTATCACACTGATGCATTTTCACAGAGAAAACACCAGTATGACTGTTTTTTTCCTTCTTTTTTCACAGGTTGTAAAACACTGGTCACAGCCGGGTAGACGAGACCAAAGGTGGCGTTTTTCACACAAAAACTTCATCTCTGCACCATCTCTGCTCTTCCTTGTGTTAAAGCTAGCAGGCTCAGTTTAGTTTCAGCAGAACTGATTTGGCTTTGCTTAGCATTTGTGCGTCCTTGCATTATTTGCCTGTTTGCTTCAGCATGCCATCCTGGGCAAAGAGCTTTCCTTGCACTGTAGAATCTCTCAGTCTCACCCAGAAAAATCTCAAAATGCACGGGCAAGAACGTCACAGGGTTAATGATGTGTGTGAACGCTGCAGATTTCACTCCACCCGTTCTTCTTCATGGGCTTTAGACGGGAAGGGAGACATTAAACTGTGTCTGTATGCAAATGAAAATACATGCAATCAGCAGTGAGAAAACGAGCAGGAAAGAGTGTGCTGTGTTTCAACAAAGTGCAGTCTTCTTATCTGTGGTGTGCCTGCGAACACATTTGTTGATGTGTGACTTTCTGCAAGTCATTTCTAGTCCACTGCAACCACAAAAGTCTTCTTTTAAATCTATGTCCTGGCTTTTGGGGATGAAAGCATGATTTACATGTAATGAATGGTTTCCTGTTGATATTACTTCAGTGCAGAAGCCCTCAAAAAATAAAAGTGAAATCCTAAACATTCCATACTTAGAAAACTAGTTCATGGAGCATCTTCTGAGAGAGGATAAACGCACTGCAAACGTAACCCTTTGTTCCCACCACACCCTCAGCCCATGTGTGAACCTTTAGTAACTGCTGACCACTACTACTGCTGAGGCATGACTGGACAAGTGCTTCTCTTAATTGCGAAATCAGTTCTGCAGAAACAGAGCTTGAACGGTCATGAGCAAGCTGTCCACAAGAGTGACTGTGACTTTTCTTATCTAACACTGAGACATCTGCACCAAGAGTGACAGTGAGGGATATTATCTATTTCACTCGAGCAGAAAAGCAGAAGATCACTGCTTCCCCTTTTCAAAGTAGCTGTTCATAGAGCTAAAGAGTTAACAGGATTTTTTTCTCCCCCCTTGACACAAAAGCAGTCTGTTGACTATGTGTTTGGTACCACAGAAGACACTGCAGTCTAATACTGCGCTGATAAAAGAAAAGCCGCGTATAACTAACAACTACCCACATAAAATAAAGATTTTACCCACATTGAATCAGCGCTGGCATGTAAAATGGATTATTTTCTCTACACTTCTTTGCTCGTTCTTTTTTTCCCTGCCCAAATGTGTTTCTTGCATGTCTAAGCTGAATATAAAGGAAGATCAAGCAAACAGTCAGTTTGTGGGTGCCTTTGTGGGGGCCTTTTAACACGTCTTGTGGCACAGGTGACAAAATTCACTTACGAGCACATTGCACTTTACTTAACTCTTAAAAAATCGAATCACAACTGCAACGTTTTGCAAGTCCACGGGCATCTGTGCACACTGAGAATTGCTACATT